GCGGTCAGTTTGCGCCAGGGGGCCCTAAATATCGACACCAACGATCTCGTTCGGGTAACCTGCCTGAATCGGTATCAGTGGGGCCCGGGTTTGATGAAACGGTGCCTCAAATCGGTCACAGTGCGCACAATTCCGACAAAATTCTCTTATGTCCTTCTTGATGTTCGTCCACCATAACCGTTGTCTGCATGCCTCATCCATTTTGTTCACTCCAGCGTGGCCCAGTTCTGTGTGTAGGCACGTAAGGGCATATCCCCTTTTTGACTTCGGGACCACCACACGCTTCTCGTCAGAGTAGTCATACTTGAAGTACACCACACCGGGTTCCATCGATAGGTAGTTCCACATGGCCCATAAACACATTGTTTCCCAGCTTTGGCCAGTGACTTCCCGGTTGTCCGGCTTATCCTTCCCCATTTTCAAGTGATAATATATCAGCACTGTGTCTGGGTCACTTTCTTGCATCTGTCCCCACTCACCGTTGGCTCTCTCAACAGGGTTGACTTGTGTCACGAATTGGGTGCAGGACGGACAAGGTCCGTGTTCCCGATAGGGTCTTCTTGAGAGGGCGTCGGCGTTTAGGTGCTTGTTTCCTTCTCTATGCTGACAGGAAAAGTTGTACGCCTGCATCTTTTCCTGCCACCGAGCAACTTGGCCTTCGGGATCCTTGAAATTTCTTAACCATGTCAAGGATTGATGGTCGGTGCGGACGAGGAAGTGCCTCTCTACGAGATAGTGTCTATACTTCTTTAGGAAGTGGACAAGTGCAAGCATTTCCTTTCTGGTTGTAAAGTAATTTTTCTCCTGATAACTCAACATTCTGCTGCCATACGCGATCACCTTTTCTTTTCCCTCATCGTCTATTTGAGAGAGTACAGCACCAATCGCACCGTCGCTGGCATCGGTATCCAGGATGAATTGTCCACTCTCCGGGCCCAATTGTGGTAGTGAGAACGGGTGCTGTTGACAATGCCTTGCGGAGGGTCGAAAACGCCTGTTCGCAGTCCTCTGTCCAGTGGAATATTGTTTCTTTGTGTAATAATTGTGTCAATGGGGCGGCTATTTCTGAAAACCGAGGCACGAACCGCCGATAGTACGACGCAAGCCTCATAAAGCTGCGTACTTTCGACTCGTTGCGAGGTTCAGGCCCAATTTCGCACCTTATTTACCTTTTATCCGTCAGTTTGGATGCCTTCGGCGGAGATCACGTGGCCGAGAAAGCGAACCTCTCGTTGGAAAAGTGTGCATTTGGCGGGTTTTATCTTCAACCCGACTTTGCGGAGACAGTCAAACGTGGCACTTAGATTCGCCAAATGTTCCTCTTCGGTCTTTCCGTGTACTACCACATCGTCCTAGTAGACAAGACACTGCCGTGGGATCAGTTCCCTGAGCACTGAAGACATTAGCCGCTGGAATGTAGCCGGTGCGTTCGTCAATCCAAATGGCATCGTCTGGAATTCGTATAATCCGTTTGGCACGAAGAATGCAGTCTTCTCTCTATCCTTCTCTTCTACTTCCACCTGCCAGTACCTAGATGCTAGGTCAAGAGTTGAGAAGTATTTCGCTCCGAACAGGGCGTCGAATATGTCTTCCATTAGTGGTGAAGGAAAACAGTCCTTCTTTGTGATTTCGTTTAACTTTCGATAATCGACACACAGCCTGATTGTTCCGTCTTTCTTTTTCACCAAAACAATAGGGGCAGCCCTGGGCGACTTTGATGGCTGGATCACGTTTGTCGCCAGCATCTCCTTTGCCATACTCTCCAATTCCTGGACATAACAACTTGGAATGCGGCGGGGGTTCAGTCGTATGGCTCCGGCGTGGTCCGTCTCTATCCGATGTTTTACTAGCCCGGTCCTACCCAGTGGCTCGCCGTCCATCATAAATATATCTCGGTATTTTGTAATCACCTTATTTACTTCCTCTAGAGTCGACCGGCCTACGTTAGGTTCTGTTCTTGTGGTAATATCCAGGAGCTCCTGATTCTTGATCTCCACACCAACGGCGGCACAGTGGTCAGTTCCCTCGCGGGTTTCCGTCGACGGTTTCGCCAACCTTCTTGCACAAACCATGAAGTTCTCCATGTCTATGGTACACCGAAGCCTTTTCAAGATATCGGCCCCCAAAATAAGGCCCACTGACAGCGGTTCTGCAACCACAAACCAGTGTCCAACTGAAACGCCATCCAGTTGCACCCTTAAACGAACGGTACCGATGGCATGGATCGCCGCGCCGTTCGCACCGCACAATTGGCCATGAAAGGGAGTGATATCACGGTTGCCCACGGCTTGCAGCATGGAGCTGTTGATGAAAGACTTGGTTGCTCCCGTATCTACTAGCCCCTTGACTCTAAATCTTTCCAAGTGTATATCAACGCAGAACATTTTATCAGACGGCACATAGAAGGCAGGGACAACTGACTCACTCGAATTGGTGTCGTCCGGATTTTCATCTTCCCACAGCGTTCCATTTACCGCTTGTCTATAGTTCGGTTCCGATCTTTCACCGGTATTAGGCCAGCGTCTCCATCCACTGCCGTCTCGGGGGAAAGGGCGCCCGGCCACTGGTTGACGATACGGCCTCGAAGCCCATGGGTTTGTTCGTTGGCTGGCTGCTGTTGGGAAATGGCCCAACATTGTGCGTCCGGTTTTTGAACGGCCTGCTGGAGCTTCTCTGTCACCCGCGCCAGTGACACGGTCTCATTAAAGCTTTCTTGGGGTTTCGTAATCAGCCTCTTCTTCACGGCAAAGTTGGCTACTCTTTCGACAAGGCGGGCCATTGAGCGGCGCTCCTGCCCTTCGCTGGCGTCCCCCGAAAACGCTTTCGCCACCAGCTGCCTCACGCGATACGCGTANTCCGCGTACGCTTCGGTGGTCTCGCCTATCTCCTGGCGCGTCGCGTGGAACTGCGTCTGATATTCGACAGGATGTAGCGGCGTGTCCAGCAGCTCACGTAACTGGGCGAATGTGGCTTCCAGGTCATCGCTATCGAAGACGTTGGCCTGGAATGCGCGATCTGCTGCGTCTCTGGTCAGCAAACCTAGCAGGGCAACACTTTGCTCTTCCTTTGGATAATATGCACAATACGAATTTACAGTGAAGTACGTTTCACGAGTTCACGGAGGGTTTCTTGTCCGTTAGTGAATCAACAA